TGAAAGACTAAGAGAAATGGAAAACTGCCGTGACAGAGTTCATCTTTCCCCCTTTCGTTTAAGCTAATAAAACTGTGTGGAACATACCAGTAAACTGTTTTCCCTTGAAATATCATTTAGTAAATCAATTTTCATCTGAAATGATGATCGTATGTTCATCAGTAGGAGGTTACGCTGCAAACCATAAGCAGTAATGAAAAGGTACATGTGGGTGTTTTTCTGATTGGCACTGAAGCTCTGGCTCCGCGAGGTGTGCCTACAGTGGAAAGAACTTCCTGTAACAGTGATGGAGTTTTTGCTTGCTTCTTTGTCAAGTAATTATTAATTTTTCTTCATTTTTACTGTAGTGTCTCCTGCAGTGACCCTGCTTCTGTGGCCAAAAAAAAAAAAAATTCCCTATTAGTACCAGGATCCAGGTTATGTAAATGCAAGATTTTGTTTTCTTGCTATACGCTGGAGCTATTAATGTGCATATATTGGGCGAGATAGGCTGAATATACTTGTTGGTTCTCACCATCTCAGGAAAGCAAGAAATTTCCCATAAATAAAATTAATGATAGCCTTGTGGCTAACTGACTACTAGGTTTCTCAGAATTGAACTGGTTTTGGCATCCGGGTTAAAAAAAAAAAAAAAGATTATTTCAGATTCGTGGCCATTCAGTGAAAGAAACAATGAGAACGCTGTTTTAGCAAATTGAAAAGTGAAACTGTGCGTGCATGTAAACATCTGGATGCAGGTACTTATGTTGTTTATTTTTCTAATATATATTGAGTCTTGGATCCCAAATAAAGGTTCAGTACTTTTCAGAATGTACTTGGTTTTTATAGTCAAATTAATTGGAAATAAAACATTTGATTTTAATAGAAGCAAAAAATTGCATTTTAATAGTATTAAACCAAAATATTTAATTTTGAAGAGGAATATTTCAAGTTTGAATTAATTGTTTGGTTTTTTTTTTTTTTTTTTTAATTTGAAATTAAATTTTTAGGTTGACTTGTACATGCAAAGAAAATTTTGACTTAAAAAAGAATTCTTAAAAAAATCACCCACTGTGATGATTCTGGATTTTATAGTAAGCCTCATAGTACAGCAGCATCATTAAATCATTTTTAACTGGGGACATTTTCAACTTTCTGTCAGAAAGTAGCTATTAGGTACAAATGTGAAAGTGTCATGTTTGTAAATGTCAACGTGTTGTTTTGCACGTGCAGCTCCAGATATATTCCGCTTAATTTTAGGCACTGCCCTTAGATCCTTCTCCAGTTACAGCCCGAAGTGCCTCCAGCGAGCAGTTCAAAACTGAGACCCGTGGGTCACTGTCCTGCCTGGAGCCCGGGGCTGCTGTGCCCTAACTTGGCACCTTGGCATCTTGCTCAGCGTTAAGTTTTACTGTTGCAGCCACGTTCGCTGCGCGCCTGATGCGTTTGCCGATTGCCTTTAACTTCTCCTGTCCACAAGCACGAGCTTCCCTGGCAAACCCGAGCAGCTTTAGTGTACGGGCGGGAGAGAAACCTCATCTTTAGGACCCCTAGAACAGCTGAAGAGTGCGGCTGGGCGAGTCAGATCATTGCGCCTGGAGAAAAGACCGACCCGTATTTACAGCTTGATGTTAGCCTGCAATTAGCGTGCAGTCTGAGGCTGAAAGTGAAAACTGGCTCGGCACACAGTTAATAAAATTGACTAACCATGGAAGCGCTTGTTTTTTCTGGCTGCACTGCTAGTTTGATAAAGCACTGGTCCGAGCTCCGCTCCTCTGGTTGTCTGCTGTGCTAGATTTTGGAAGGGGTGCACATGGTTACACCTGCACGTGCTCTTCTCAAGTCTGCAGCGAGAGTCACAACTGACATTTGGTGGCATTATTGGAAATGCAAAAAACACCCTTTCAGATCCCATTTTAGATTAATCGGTCCAAGACGGTCATTAAAGATCTAAAGGGTAACCTGCCTGGAAAGACAGGTATGGTTTGGCCGGTAAATCAGAGTTAATGTGAATAGAGATACGTTAATATTGAATGTTTACCCAGTCTCATTTGGGGTTGCAGGAAGCTGGAGATCCAAACTGTTTACAAGAAGCCTTCTAGCCATGGTTATCTTAGTAAGAATAACACCTTAAAGATCCATCTGCATATTCACAAGTGTATTTTGTAATTTCTGTATAATGTATGCCTGCAAAATATGGTATTCAGGGTATATTTAGATGCTGTGAGTAGTAAAAAAAGGAATCTACAGTTTTTGAATAGTAGTGATTGAAACTACTGGAAGTCTGTCTTCCGAACAGATGCGGTGTTAGCCCTGTGCAGTTGGCTAAAATATCACTGGTACAAATGCTAGCGTAATCTCAAGCAGATATTTTTCCTCTTTTGGTTGACGAGGGCCACGCAGATGCTGCTGGTGGTCTAAAAAGGCCACAAAAGAATCGCCTTTCCTGCGGGGCCTTTGGTTTTTGTGTGTCCTGCGGAGCAAAGCGCAGTGGTAGGAACTCAGCCGGCGCCAGCGGCCCTTCCGCGCCCTTGGGCTGACTCACAAGCTGGCTCGTCTCTGCTGGTGCTGTGGCCAGCCACCACGGAGGAGGAGGAGGAGGAGGAGGGCTCAAAGGACGGGGTAGTCTGAGAGGACAAGGGCAACAACAGATGCGTATTTTCTAAGGCGTGTGGGCCCTTCGAGACTTTTAATTTCTAGATATTAAAAGTTTGGAAGTATACTGATTTTTTTTTTTTTTTTTTTTTTTTTTTAAAAAGAAGCTGTTGCTGTCTTTGACGATTCAGATCTCTGTTTAACCTGAGCAGTCAGTATATATTATTCTGTTTAACCTGAGCAGTCAGTATATATTATTCTAGAAAGTAGACTTGTAGTCTGGGAATTTCAGTCATTCGCTACCGCGCACCCAAAAGGCAATGATGTTGTTACTGATGCAGAAGCAGTATCTTTTTCAGTTGCAGACCCAGTGCTTTTTCAGCTCGTGCGGCTCTCAAAAACGAAACAAAAACCCCTCCTTCGTTCAACTTGAGTGTAAAAAGGAGAGCTGTGGCACATGGTTATACAAGAACATCACTCACCTCACAAACGAAATGACAGCTGGAGAGCTGCAGCCTGGTGGCTTTCTCCTACAGGCCTCTTCACGTGCTCAGCCCAAGATGCTGCTCGATGCTGTTTTGGGGACAGCCAGGGAAATCCCTGGGGGGGGGGAGCTGCCACGCAGGAGCGATTCCGGTGGGCTTGGAGCTGGCACAGCTGCCACCCGTGCTTACAGGTGCAGCATGGAAATGAGACTTCAAAAGATTTTACAAGGGTTACAGAGTTCTGATGAGATGGACCACACAATCCCCCCCACCTTCTAAACTTGGATAGCATGAGAAAAGAGAATTGTATCAGGATTTTCTTTCGAATGCTGGCTATACAGATTAGTAAATTTATGGTGATAGGAAACGTAGCGACATTAAATCACAGCAACAGTGTGGCTACTTTATGTTCTTCCATGCATTGTCTAGATAGCGTGTTTGGGTGCACTCAGAAGTTGCAGAAAAGCTGGAATTGGTGATGTTCATGTATTCAACGTGCAGTGGGAACAAAATACTTGGTATACTTGGTTGTTACGATGGGTGAATCAGGAAGGTTCCTTTGAATTAGTGCAGATGACTTGTGAAATTTCAACCTCTCTCTTCTCAGATATTTTTGTTCTCAAAACCAGTTGGGTATATAATTCCCATAAGCGGCTTTGGGAGGAAAAAAATTAGACAGTATGTAGCTAATTTATTACCTGCCTTTGTAAACCTGGTAGTTTTTGGATTCAAATATGTTGTCTCAGTCAAAACAACAGCGAAGAGTGTCTCATCGGTTTCAGGCTCTTTCCATTTTAGGTATGAAGCTGTGTTTTGTTTGCTTCTGGTAGCACTACATGTTTAAATATGAATTTCAGCTGTGAAATATTGCCATTTATTAGACCATAGGACAGAAGTTTGGATGTGGATATGGTGTGAGTTGATAATTCATTATGCTAAAAGGTCCTTTTAACGCTTTTGCGAAGCAAGTATAAGAGTAACTCTTAGCTGGTAACAGAAGAGTGATTAATTCTTCCACCAAGAAAACCTGCCCCAAACCCTGGCTTTTTTCACTAGTGATACTCTTAGAATGGAAATCCTATGTCTAGATCATTTATCTCCAATATTTGTAATATTAATTGAAGAAATTTAGCATAAATAAAGTCTGATTGAATACAGTATAAATTATGTATATCAGAATATCATATCATTAGTTTCATATTTCTTTCATAGCACTTGAAATTCATATGCTGTGTGATGTTACATAATTTTAGCATGTTTGCCATTTTACTCGTTGGTTGTTCACTCAGTAAGCCGCAGATTACTGGACTGATTGACCGTAGAGCCATTTGGAAGAGATGGTTATGTATACTTCTGTTTAAGAAGTTAAGAAATTCTCATTTGGATTCTAACGTGCAGTTCTTGTTTGTTTGATGCACAGCCTTGGGGCTTCCCTTCCATTTCAAGATCATCTTTTTTTCAGTCCAGATTACAGTGCTGTTTCTAGTTTCCTATATACGAACCTATATACCCTTTCCTGTATATGAATGTGTTTTATGCACATTTGGTATTTCTTCTTGGTGGAGAGAAGAGTAAGGTAGCAGAGGGGACATTAAGCACGTTGAAAATCTTATTTCCCTCTCCTCCATGACATTGGGACTGTTTGGTGATACCGAAGTACTGGTGTAGCCTGTCAGCAAAGCGCTGCTAGTATGGATGAAACTCTGCTGGCAAAGCTGTATTTTAGTCAAGCCATACCCAGTAGGGTGAAAATGCTACAGAGGCTAAAGTGCAGCCTTGTTGGTATAATTGCTGCCACACCAGAAGCTTCCTAAAGCCTCCGCTTGGCCCAGCAGGGATTGTACCCATTTGTACCCCTGGCATCCAGAAAGAGTGAGGTAGACGTTGTCAGAGCAAGAACCTCCCGAAGTAAATTTAAATTCCTTCCTAATTCTTTCATAGGGCTCCTCGATTTAAGGGGTTCCAGCAGCAGGACAGCCAGGAGCTTCTTCACTATCTGTTGGATGCGATGAGGATTGAAGAAACAAAGGTAACGTCTTTGTGTGTGCTTTTAAAGAACTTACTTGACTGTGTGGTGAAATACGAGTCTTCACTTCAATGTTCTTCGTGTTCCCAGTGTTTCAAAGATGCACTTAATGAACTAAGAGTGGCTATTTTTGTTGAGAAAAATAATGACTGTTTTGAAAGATGATTTAATTATGCTCACGTTGATATGTTAAAATTGCCGATTGGAATGAAAGTTTCAGTCAGCAGTAGAAGGGGTTTGCCAAGTATATCGTGATAACTTTAGGAATCTGAATTGTTTGCCTTCATTTAAAAAAAATAAAAGGGTCCAAAAAAAAAGGACTTCTGCAGAGTTGTAGAAAGCAGAAGTAGGTGCTCTGACTTGGCTGACATTGCGTTTTAAAGTTTTGGGACAGAAATTAGCAGCTCCTAGCTATGGGCCTGGCCACAATTTTCACTGAAATCTATTTAAATGAAAAAAAAAAAAAAAAAAGGATAAAAATAAAATCGTGCAGTTTCTTGTATCTCTTGAAAATGTGAAGAACTACTTGTTTTATAAATAAGGTGCTGCTTTTCATTATTTAAAATGTACATCCGAGTATGCTAAGTGTATAAGCAGTTTATTATATTAAAAATGTCCCTGCATGTTTTTTTTTTTCGTTTCTTTTCCTTCACTATTTCTTCCTTCTGCATTGCTGAATGCAAGAAAGCGTGTTTGCTTGCTTGAACTGTTTTGACCATATCAGATTTCATCTGCCTGATTTAGTCTGGGACCCTTCTTTTCAGATGATATTTTGGTAAAAGGAGGGCCTTAAGTCTCCTACTGACCAGTGTACTTCCTCTTCCTTCTCATTTAGTAATGCGACAAATGTCATGATCCTGAGCTGAATTACCTTCCAGATAAGATAGAAAGCTGTGTCTGAGCCCAGTTGTTGGCACTAGAGTAGAGCTGGGCAAATCCCCATCCTACCACAATATTAATATATATTGGTCATGTCAGCGGTGTACTTGATGATAAACAGAGCTGAACTACAGGGAGAAATAGCTAAAGCTTGACATTGTCACTCTTACAAAATTACACAACAGAAGCAGCTGACTTCAGTCAGAAAACAGTTGTCATGTTTTTGCAGTAGAGGGTAACTTTATTATTTTGTTTGTTGATTTTCATGTAATGGAAAGTGGAAACTGTATTTGCTTCACAAATGAGGATTTACCAAAACCAGGATTATTACGATGACTGAGCTGCTTCTCCAGGAGGAGATTGTGCTTTCCCCTCAAGTCAATCTCCTGTTTCACCACTGAATGTGCCGTCATTATGAAAACTTGCGTTTGTATTTGCCTGTAATTTGTGAATCCAGGGAAGAGCCCTGCTGACAGGGCAGCCTGTTGCTTTGCCATCTACCCGTGAGAGAGCTGAGCGCGGCCGTCCCTGCTTCCCGATCCCTGCTGGGATTAACTGCTTTTAAACCCTCAGAGTGTTGTCGAGAAATACATACGATACATAACATGGCACTAGTTACAGGAACTAACAGAAAATCACATTTTTACACTTTGGCCTCTTCTCTGTGGTTTTGTATCTGGTATCCGGCGCCTGTGCTCAACTTTTTCCTATCCCTGATGAAAAAAGTTAGAAGGCACCTATGTACACAAGTGGATTTTTAAGATAAAAGCTTGTCAGTACTACAGTAAAGATGACACAGCGTCTGCTGTTTCCAGAGATGTGGGCTGGAGGTGGTGTCATACCGGGCCCGAAGCGGCTGAGCCCTGCTGCTAATTGATTAATGCCTGCTGCCACTGTCCGCAGCACCCTGCCCATTCAAAGTCTGTGTCTTTCTTTGACCTAAATAAATGGTTCAACGCGCTAATCTCAACAAAAGGCTTGCTTATGGCCCTAAACCCATTTATGGTTCTCAACTTCATGAATTACCTATTGATTAGTCCTTTTAGTATATCGTTGGCTTTAAGATGAACAAAGCTGAGCTCGGGGTAGCGGGAGTTAATTCACAAGCCAGGTCACATACTTGTGAGGTAGGAGCATGAGTTATGCCTGATGGGTGCTTGAACTAGAAGCAGAACCTCCAACGCTGCCTGTCATCCTCACGCTTTTGTGACACATGGCTGGAAAGTGTGCTTTGCTGCCTGTAAAGCAAGAGCTATTTATTTATTTTTTCCCAGTGAGGACACAGGGTTTGAGTTACTTGCCGAAGGTCTGGTATCTCCATTTGTCTCTAGAGTGGTGTTTTACTCTAAGTGTGACATCAGTGACACGTTTAATTGCAAACGCCGTTTGCACACCGACGCGGGAGACTCGTACGCGTCACTAGAGTCTGTGGGTTAGGGAGCAAGTACATTCGCCAGGAAAAAGGGAAGCACGGGCCACGCACGCTGCCGTGTTCCCTGCCAGGGCACCCGACTCACCCCCTTGGAGCGTTGGGCTGAGCTGCCCAGGGTGCCCCCTCGGGAACAGGGCGTCCCCTCATCCCAGGGCAGCTGAGAAGTAGCGGGGGGGAAGCACCCCCCGTCTTGAGGTGCAGCTACAGCTCACCTGTACGTAGGATTTTCTCTGAGCAAATGTTGGTGGCATTTTTATGCGTTCGTAGAATCTCTCCTGAGGTTTTCTAACATAACTCTCAGATGTGCAGGGTTAGAAAATGAAGAGAAGTAATAAAAATACTGCCCAAACACAGTCACTGAAGTCTGGCTGTTAAAAGAGACTTAGCTGCCTTCAAGTATTTTGTACCCTAGTCAATCAGTAACAGTCCATTCTTCAGTGTTGGTTTTCCCCCCCAACAATGGAGGAAACAGGTAGCATTTGTTCACTCAAAATCTCAGTTTCTCAATAACCTATTGAGTGCTCTACAGTGGCTCCCCTTTTTAAGGGGAGGAAATTTTTGGATGGTTACCTACTAAAGTAAAGCTCATCTGATTTTGACACTGGTAGTGAATAACAACAGTAGTTTTAAAATATTAAATTGTGCTTATTTCACGGAAATAAGAGTAGATAAAATAATCATATATTAATAGTTTTTTGAATGTTTATACTTTTAAATACTCACTAAATGTTTTGTGGTGTTTTTTTTTGTTTTTTTTTGTTTTTTTTTTAAATTGTAGCGTATACAAACTGGTATCTTAAAAGCATTTAATAATCCAACTACTAAAACGGCAGATGAAGAAACTAGAAGAAAAGTCAAAGGTATGCAACTCTTTATTGAACAGTTTTAAAAATGCACGAGTATTTAAATGCCATTTTCTTCAAAACTGACTATGGCAAACAGCAGTCCTAAAGTACTGTAGTTACAAGACTTATGTATTATTCTAGTGCCACCTAGTGTGCATCTAAAGTGTAGAGAGCGTAGTCTGTGCTGACTTGCAGCTTTGTATCCAAGGGTAGAAGCTTCCACTGTATCAATAAAGCCCCTTTTAACGAGAGAAGTTAATTTTATTTTCTGAAATGGCCTGCTGCATCTTCAGGTTTGTTATACAGCCCCAGTTAACTATCACTCAGAGAGGCCACTTTCCATAAATAAAACTGATTTCTGTCAGTTGACTGTAAGCACTCTAATTATGATTACAAAGCCGAGACAGGAGGCTGTTTCAAAAGAAGGCGTGTGTTTTTTCAAAACAAGGGTTTTAAAATTTATTTTTTGTGTGCGTGTTTATGCAAAAGTCCTAATAGTGGGGATTTTGTTTTAATTAAAAGTCTTAATAACGATTAAGCTGTTTGGAAAGTCACCTTTCACAAATCTGCAACAGTTAAGGTATTGAGATGTATTAGAATAGGCTTTTGTCTCTTTTTTTAGAGTTTTATAGTTTGGAAAACCATTCAGAAAGGGTGACAACCTGCCTGCTACCCTGTAGCGTCTATATCAAGGCAATGCAATATTATGTATTCAAAAGAAAACTGAGAATTTATTTAACAGGCTGCTTCTTGAGATAAAGTATTATTATTCTGTTACAGTAGGTGGGGAAGGGAAGGGAAGGATAAAAGGGAACCGTCTCACTAAAATATTTTGAAATGTTGAGATCATACAGTATATATATGATGTATTAGTTACTGTATTATGTTCAAACCATTTTGAATATGTTTACAAATTGTGCTTTCATAATGTATCTTAGAAGGAATTTTGTTGTACTTATAGTGTGGCATTGGATCTGTTATTTTTCACATTTAAAAAAGGCAATGTTTTTTCAGCATATGGAAGAGAGGGTGTGAAGATGAACTTCATAGATAGGATCTTTGTTGGTGAATTGACTAGCACTGTCATGTGTGAGGAATGTGAAAATGTAGGTATTCTGGAATTTGGTTTGATGTGGAATAGATCACATACTGGTTTGATTATGTTGTCTTGAAAGTATAAAATTGTATTGCCAATTTTATACTTGTTTGTTTGTTTGTTTGTAAAAACAAGACTTTTTTGAAAGTTTCTCATTTCAAATGATTTATTCCTTTAAAGCATTATCCTCCCAAACCTGAGAAGAGGGGTCTTTTGAATTCAAAAAGGATTCAAGTTCTGGGCTTGATTTTACATCTAACTGAAGGCTGGAGGTTCCAAATTCTGTAATCATCTGTGTTACATCCCAATTTTATTTACTGTTTTTAAAACACCTGCCTGTCTTACAACGTAAATCCTCCTGCCTGCTATTCTGGGATATACCTGAAAATTGGGAATTACTTACTTTGAATTAGCATGAGTGGGGAAATGCTAAAATTACTTTTTTTTTTTCCTCTTAAAGTATTTTTTGTAATTAACATAATAATGCTAATGAACAGCATATTCCTTTCATTATTAATATGACTGACATTTCATCATACATGCTTTCCATGATCCTTATAATTTGCTTTAACTTTGGAAGAGAAAAATCTTATTTGCATGACTTCTCTAATTGAATGTTACATTTGTGTTTTAGACTAAACATTATATTTCGTATTATAGAGATTAAGTAAATCAATCAGTCTTAATAATTAAGCACAGTCCTGCAGTGCCAGGTCAACTTCCCTGTGTGTGATGTGCAGATTACACTCCGATGTGCTACTCGTATCAATGAAGAACTTTGACTATAGAAAAAATAGAGGTTGTATGTATTTTGCGTGTCTCATTTATTTTTGATGGATTCTTATATCCTGCCTGCACAGGACTCAGGGATTTGCTAGCTGTAGTCCCTTGAGGAAGACCTTAATATTCACTTTCCTTTGCCTACATTGGCAAAGATATTTTTGACGAATGTTTGTTCATGCAAACTCACTCTTTAGAGGAGCCCCTGATTGAACATCGCTCGTCAGGCAGTCAGTCATCACCGTTACAATAGTTCTGATGTCATTTATTGCTTTACTGGAACCTAAACCGTGCTCAGTCCCTTGTACAACAGGTAAAAATAAGCCTACAGTCCGTACCAGATGCTGCAGGTGGGAGACAGGGTCACAAATACAAGAGAAGGGCAACGAAGACAGTAATTGAGGGCATGACTGCCTTCAGTAACTCACATGTACAACGTAATTTTTTATTTTTTTATTTTTTTTAACATGATGTTTATGTCTTACTTGTTTTTCACAGTCTTCCCAGAGGTAAGATAAGTCAGTTTTGGAAGGAGTTTGAGAATGGCAAGGGAGAGAACTTAAGGAACAGGCTTGGATGAAATGTTCTAGTCATAAAGGCACATGGGAAGTGCTGACAATGTCTTTAGGTATGCTTTGCCAGATATTTCCAGTTTCAGCTTAGATTTTACATGGCTTATAGGTGGCAAAAGAAAACTTGCAGTACAGAAAAGAAGGTTGTTTTTTTTTTTTTCTCCCAGCCCCCTGCTCCCCAGTAATTGGATTTATTTTAACAATTACTAGTGTATGTTATGGTGTGACAAATTCTAATAAAGCTTTTGGCTGCAACCAGTAAGCCTGACTTAATCTTTTCTGAGAGCATGAGGTTTGAACGTGTCATTTAATGTTCATTAACCAGTCCTTGCTGCTTAACAGTGTCCAAGGTCAAACACTTGCCCAGAAGTGTCCAGGATCAGGAGACTCAGTTAGCTTTCTGCAGAACTGTACCATCTAGGAGGCCCACATGACCTGAAATTCTGTCTGGAGCTCAGAGAAACTGACCACCGCACTGCTTCTAGGTCCAGTTGGTGCCCAGATGAATGGCCTCGCCCTTTATGTCTGTACGCTGAAATGTTGTGCAGTGTTAGAAAGAAAATCAAAGCTAACTTAAAACAAATTTAAAAAAAAAAAAAAAAAGTTTGTGGGAAGTTCTTCATTGTAGTTTGATACATCTTGTAACTAATTAGCTTTTGATATAGTTTCTGATAATTTGATTTAAAAAAGGAAGCTATGTTCTAAGCCCATAGAATGTTCTTTGCATTTAATATGCATTTTCTCTTTTTCTTCAAGATTTCAACAGTAAAAGAACCTTTCATTGATCTTTCACTTCCTATAATAGAGGAGAGGGTAAGAAACAGAATATGTGATAACTAACTATTGCTTCCAGTGGATTCTTCTTACATACCTTTACGAACACGTTCACGTATATACACACAGTTTTGATTTCAAGCCTAAAAATGTATGCTTGTCCATAAATACATGTACTGTCATACGTCTGTTACATGATTTTATTTCTATGTATAGAGAAACACAATGCCATAGGTGCATATATTTTTAAATTGGTCCAAACTTGGAACAAATGACCACAGTAATTTACAGTATATGTAGGTCTGAGATTAGCTTAATTTAGGGGTAGTTTTAGTATAGACTTATATGAATGGAATGATCATGAACATCTAGAGAACCCGAGTCCCTTGGGCTGAAGTGTACCTATGGATGAGACAGTGTCAAAATGGATAGACTTTGAATATATTTCTTTGGTGCTTTTGGCATTTCACAGATTGCCACCATTAGCTGCAGAGGAAACGTATTCCTTTGAAGGCGTACGCGCCGGTTTTGTGTGACTTGGGGTTTTCACTTGAGAGTAGGGGGGGGGTGGGTTGCACGTGGTTTTTCCCCCATCCTGCATATATTCACGTGTATTTAAGGGAGAGTATTTAATGTCCTATTTTTAACCCTGTATAAAATGTACTTGTCTCCGAACATCAGTTTTGCTCGTAATAAATTCCTCGTCTTTGTCGCTGCATTGAGTGCAGGTATCCGTGGGAGTTAAAGCTTCCCTGGATCACGTGTGTACCACGGGAACTGCAGGGGTTCTGTTTGGGAGAGCGAGCTGCTGCCTTTTAGCAGTCGCTGCCCTTACTCGAGGATGTGCGCTACTTTACGGCCATCTCTTTCCTTTATAGCACAGACACGCTGCTGCCATTAGTGTCGTGGGGTATGTACAGCAGCTCCTGCATCACCTCATCAGGTGCACCAGGGACTGGCTCAGGGGGAGCTATGGCCCCTTCGATAAATTCACATCTCGTACAGCTACGCATGTGCTTATGCAATACTGGAATAGATTATTTGGTGTGTGTTCTGTGCAGGAGTTTTGCATCATTCCTATTTCTTGTGGCTCGCAGTTGATCCTTCAAAGATGTTCACAGTGTGTTTACGATAAATATAATTAGAAAGTGATTTTAAACCACAATTTAGGGGCCAGTTAATTGGATTTACACAGGTTATTATTTTCTCAAGTAGAGGAAAAAAAAAAACCCACCACCTACATTCACCTTTTCTGTAAGTTGCAAAGAAATACAAAATTGGTGTATTTCCTTTCCTAACTTCCTGTCTAATCTCTTAGGTTGCAAAACCTGTGCCTTTGGGAAGAACAGGTAAAGGTAAAAGTGTACAAGAGGCAGACCTCAGTCAGTATAACTGTTCTTCTATCACTACATTGAATAATCAACCCAAAATTGTCAAGAAACACGCTTTAACAAAAGATAAGGTAAGAACTGCAATACTTGCATTAACCAGTTACCTTGAATTAATTCTGAAGTTTCTCGAGCTACAGGGGTGGGAATTTAGACACCTATCAGTGGGGGTTTTGTGTATACACAGAGCTGAAATAGACCTGGTTTTGAATATTTAGGTCATTATGAGAAGTGTGAGAAGTGATAGTCATTGGGAACCATTTCGTTTCAGTTTACAGGGTTTTGCTTGTAAGGAAAAAAAAATAATCTGCAAGTTAGTTCCAATTCCTGTTGCTCTGGGTTTTGCTGACTGCTTTTCTTTGGGTGTCCCTGTAGCTTGTTTCTGGTGGCAATCACAAGAACTATACTGCTGGCTGAGAGCAGGCAAGCCTGCGTCAGTGCTGTCCGAGGGCCTGGCTGGCAGCAGGTACCCCAAATCCAGTACAGCCCACGGAGGCTCTTGCAGAGTGAGAGTGTGGTTTCTGTGACCCACCTGGCCTTCAGCAGCCCCAGGGCTGGGCAGCTCCGTTCCGCCCGGCCCCGGCCCCGGCCCCTAGTACAGTTCTTTCTGACAGTAGCAAAAGGGTTCTGCAAATACTCCAGCCTAACAGAACTGGTTATTTGTATGTATTAATGTTTACGGATTAAAATAAACATGTAGTAACTATTGTGCACACGTATTAATGAAATGTGACAAAGTTATTGTCGTTATCAACTTTTTTTTTTTTTTTTTGAAATAAGCCTTATTGTCCATATAGGGTTATATGGCCAGTTAGAATCTATATTAGAAGGAGCATGGAAAAATCCAAAGTAAGGTGAATAATAGTGTTAATACCGATACACTCAAGCACAGTTACTGAAATGTTTTCAAAATTAAGAAAATAAAATATAATATGGATTCAATAAACTGGGCTAGCCAGACTAATATAAAGGAAGCAACAACTCTGCTTTCAATAAAGCTGAAGTGACCTACGAAGTACGTCTGTCTAATTGGTGAGGCTTTGTGATTCTCTGCTGCCCCTCTGTCTTTTCAGACGTGTATCTATCACTTTAGTCTTTTTTAAAAACTTATCTTCAGTGTAATATATCTGTTCTGCAGTAAAATTGCTAGTCTGAAACAAACAGTTGTTGAATTCAGTCAGTGTTTGCTGATGTTCTGTGACTTCAGTTCATCTTAAAAGTATGCTTGTGAAAATGGGGGGTGTCCTGTGAGTGGTTTTGTAGGTGACAGAGTACCTGGACACTCCTTGTTAGGCTCTTCTCCTGAAATAGGGAGCTTCACAATCTCAAGAATCTTTTGACTGCTGTTAGTATAATACCCCTGAACACTAGCAGTAATTTCAGGCAAGTTCTTCTCCCTCTTCTCTATTTACAGGCAAACAAGCTTAAGTGAGATGAGAAGTGGTCCTAATGGAAAACAGTGTTTGGGTTTTCTAATTATTTTTATTGGGATTTAATTTTTTTTTTGTTAAACTGTTCACTTACTTCTAAGTTTAAGGACCTGAATTACGAGGTCATACATTCAGTGTAAGTTCAAACCCAGTTTAAGAAAATACTCAGCAATATTTTTTGTCTTTCACGTGGATTTCACGTGGACTTAAGTTCTTGCTTAAGGTTTAAAATTGAATGTGTGCTTGAGGTCTCTTCGTGATTTGAGGCTATGGTACATATGGAAGGGACAGCCTGAACAGCATTCAGTGCCTGCAAGTTTGGCAGTTACCCGTGGTGCCTATCATTGTGGTGCCCGTGACCGGGAGCGGGATCCAAACCGCAAACAGTTCAGAAACCCTCTCCACCAGATGAGAAGCTACGTAAAGACAGTCAGTAGGAAATGCCTAAACCCAAAGCCAAGCCTGAAGTTACACCCTCGCTGCAGCTTAGGCACCTGGTCAGGTATGCAGAGGGGTATTGCCTTCCACTTAGGTTCCCTGTTATGGAAACAACCTACGAAGGTTAGTTTCTGTAGGTTGTTCTGTAAAAGCACTGATTGATAGGAGCTTAACTCATGCTCCATGTCACTTTCTTTGTTTAAAGGTACTTTATGAATGCCAGGAAGTGGAAAATGCAAGTGCAGGGCTCCTGAGGCTGAGAGGGAGTGAGCCTTATCTTAGGGACGTGCCTAGACTACCGGTTACGAGGTCATGGCAATTTTAGATTCTTGTACCTGGTATCTGAGTACTGAAAGGGTCTGTGCCCTGTTGGGGACCATAAAAACTCTCCTGAATCAGGTCCTCCTGGCACGCTAAACACACATGAAGAAAAAACATAACAGAATAATCATATAAAAGACTGAGAAGAGGCTGAGGCAGAAGTAGGAAAAGGACATGTAGTAGGAGCAGAGGAAAGGATAGAAAGAAGAAGGTGCAGACACTGATGGTTACAGGAGAAAAGGCCCCTGAAACTCAAACTGCTGAGGTGAATGGAAGGATTCCCACTGGCATCACTGGAATTTTGATCCAACTCAGATGTAAGGGAAAAAACAAAGGGGAAGGAAAGTTGCTCATTTCTTTTGGAAAGAGATACTTCTCTGGAAAGAGATACAAATGAAAGAAAGAGAGAAAATAATCATGAACGTTTATAAATCACCTAAAATTATGGAGCTTTGTGAGTTGCTTACAGTAGTTTTTCTGTGGCAGCACAGGTTTTTTTTTTCTTTGTGGAATCTTGGATTTAAAAATATCAACTTCAGATAATATACAAATTAGCAAACGTACTGCTAGGGATGCTTTATTTAATTCTAAGACAAGTGCCTATCAGGTGAGTTGAATTGTCTTCCGGAGCAGCTAAGGCCTCTGATGGGAGGCCAGGGGACTAGCTTAAACTTGAGAACCTTTTAGAAGCTGAAGTTAGATTAAGTGAATACCACTGCAGACGTGCCACCCGCAGCTGTCACAAAGTGAACGTCATTAGCTGTGGGAAGTATCGCTCCGACAGTCAGCATAACGCTCTTAGCTGGCTGGGGTGTAGGTGTCTAACCCTACACTGGTTTAAAAAGATCTTAAGGAAATCAACTAGCTTAAACATGCGAGAGATGGGAGACTATAAAATAATAGGTTTCATTTGCTTTGAATTTGTCATGTTGCAAAAGCTGTGTTAGATCACAGATCTGTTTTCTGTTTCTTCCCTACACTACTGAAATAACAACGCCATCATGTACAGAATCAGTTGAACCAGGAGAGACGGCTTGTCAGAAAAGCTTCCTCGAATGAAGAAGAAAGAAGTCCTGTTATCATGCAGAAAAAAACCAAAAAGCTCGAGCTGGAAGGTAGCTCCGGTGTCCTGTGCTCCAAAGACACGGCTGGTGACTCCGCTGTAAACGGGAGCCAGACGGACGGCAGCGAGAAGGAGGCCAGCCGCTCTGAGAGCAGCTTTGATGCAGACAGTGAAGCCTCAGAAAGCGAAAGTGCTTCCAAGCAAACAGCTTTCAGCCCGTCCAGCAACGCGTCCGGTTTGCATGTCAACCACGTAACCGCTAAAATGCCGCACAACAAACCAAGTGACAGCAACGAAGAGATGATTTCCAGCGCCATATCCAAACTCACCTTCTGTGAGACTCTAAATGAAGATAAAAAATTGAGCCGTGGAGATCCAGCATTTGGTTTAGCAAATAATTCCATGTTCTCGGGAGACAAATCCCCGCTATCCCAAACCCCTCAAAACGCTTTCCAGACGCTTTCCCAAAGCTACATAACTAGCTCAAAGGAATGTTCTGTTCAGTCCTGCCTTTACCAGTTCACCTCTGTAGAGCTCCTAATGGGCAACAACAAGCTTTTGTGTGAGAGCTGTACGGAACGGAAACAGAAGTATCAGAAGAAAACCAACTCCACAGGTAAAGTGCTTGCATCCGCCTGGACACTTTACAAAATTGCCTCTCAAAACGTGCGGTCCCGCTGCTGCCCCATTGCTCCAGCACGGGCCTCCCCTTCTGGCTAAATAGAAAACGTCTCCCCAAGCAGAACTTGCTTGTAACGACTTAAAACCTCGTCCTGTGAAGGCAACAAGACTAAGTTTTATGTTAGGACATAATCGTAGATGTAACTTCGAATGTATTTTGCATCTTTTCTTTATTCAAGATAAGTAATTTATAGGTGACCATAAACTGAATAGGCACGTTGTTCGATATTAATCTTTGCTGCTCTTTATGTTCTTTACAGTCCAAGAAGCTTTGAAATAAACACTGTAATATTAATCTCTAGCAGCTTACATGCTCAGGGAAGTAGCGTAACTAAGTGTGTAAGAGGGGCAAAAAAAGACACTTGTAGTGAAGAGGGAAAAAAAAACCCTTACAAATATTTGTAAGAATGGAGATGAGAGAACTACCTTGTTGTGACAGTGTTTTCCTCGATGTATATGTAGCCCAGGCAGACCATTAGTGTTCGCTGAGTAAGAACACAATTTAAATATAATGGAAAATAAACTTTAAAAAAAGACTGGAGGATTCTTTTTGATGCATCGTAATTCAGAAGGATAAAAACATTAAGCTCTTCAGATTATTTGTAAATAAAATACAAAGGGATGTCTTACAACAATAAAAAATTGCCCATTTGCTGTCCATTTATAGATATCTGGAGAGATACGTTAAGCATGAATAAGTTCAGAAAATTATCCTAAATTCAGAAATGAATCTAAAAATAGTATTTTATAATCATTAATTTATCACTGTTGGACTGAGAGTTATACAAGTAGTATTTTGAATCCATGGGGACAGTGAAAAATGGAAAAAAAATCAGTTCACAACTAATCACTGTTAATTTTTTTTCCCTCTAAAACAAAAGATTTAAGAAGTCACCTACTTTTACATGAAATGCTCCATCCTACCTCAGATATTTTCCTTTGGACAGGTGTAAAACCAACCAATTAATGAATCTTTTCAGTGAAAAAAATGCTGGTGGCACGTTCCCTTTTACTGTATAGCTAACCACTGGGCACTTCTGGTGAGAGCCCTGGGTTCAGTTCCATCTGCACCGTAAGGGGGACTGGAGTCCACGTATCCCAGTCCTGTGTGCTCGAGCCAGCAGGTTATGAGGCACCCTGGAGTGGACACCCTGCCTCAGACCCTTCTCTTAAATAAGCACAAAGTATGTAGTCAAAGAATTGAAGAATGGAGAATTAATCTCCGTCTTAATGGTTAGGACATTAGCATAGATAAAGAGACCTGTGCCTTCTATTTCTTGTTCCAGTGATCATCCATTTATTTCAGGTGAAATGGTTTTAACAGGAAAGTTGGGTGCTACAGTAACAGACAATGTAGGTATCTCAGTGTGCAAGCTCAGTGTACGTGTTTCTTACTTTTGATCTGATTTGCACAGACCAGGCTAAAATAATGCCCAGATTTGGCAGATTATGTTTTATTAAAGATTAGAAAAATTAGAAAAATTTTTTCTGTTACTCCACAAAATCTCCCTTGCATTTGATGACATGTACAAAATCATTGCAACACAGATCTGTTCTGTTAGATGTTTAAAAAAATACTTAAATTCTGTATGACTGCCTTCACTTTACAAATTATTTTGATATTCATAAATACAGAAAAGAAAATGGAAGGTGTCTACACAAATGCTCGGAAACAGTTGCTGATTTCTTCAGTTCCTGCTATTCTTATTCTCCACCTGAAAAGATTCCACCAGGTAAAAGGCCAGAACCCTCTTGTGTATCCCCTGCCCCTCTGGTGGACAAGCAATTCTTCAAGTGTTGTACACACCAGTGTTTGCTTTTTATATGGAGAACTGGTAGAACCGCTGCTTGAAACATGCTTACGTTTTTTTGACTGTCTAATACCTCCAGAGTGCATCTAGCCATTCAGATGTATCCAGGGAAACCTCTCACGTGTCCATCGTGCTCATGTGTAGCAGGCACTGTATTGAAAACAACAAAGACTGTTTAAATCAGTTACAATCTTACTCTTGGTTTTGGTTTATTTTAATAGTATAGTAAGACAGCTCAGCTTTAAAAATCTTTCCAGTAAAAATATTCCATTTACTGTCTTTTTTTTTTTCTTTTTCTTTTGAAGGCTGGTTTGAGTCTACGCAAAGTAAACAGGCATGTGGATTTCCCACTGATTTTAGACTTAGCACCGTTTTGTGCTGCATCTTGCAAGGTACAGGTTTCAAATCTTTGTTCTTATTGTATTTCAGCAGTTGCTGTCCTGAGCACATGTTAAACTGGATTGATGATGATGATGATGATTATTCCTCCCTTTCCTAGAGAAATTATAGTGAATGTTTTCAAATAGTACCCCGAGATAAGAACTTTAACTAATTGAAATTCCATTCATATCAAGGATACCATGGATGCTAACTAGTCTTAGTTAAACTACGGTGCCCTCATGGTGTTAGTCTATCTAACAGCATTAAGGACAAATATTGCTGCTTCCATGGTAACTAAATTCAATTAATAGACTATTGAGTATTTTTAATAGATGTATTTCACCGCTGCAAATGCCGTAGGTGTCTGTCTGCTTCTTGTAAAGTAATACTGCTGATAGCTAATTAAGACATCTGTAAAATTAATGGTGAAATAATTGATCTTTGTTTTCTGTGTTTCTGGGAATGCAGAATGTTACGGATGGTACGAGAGTGCTATATAGTCTTTATGGAATAGTGGAACACAGTGGGTCAATGAGAGGTGGTCATTATGCGGCATATGTGAAAGTCAGGACACCCTCCAAGAAATTACTAGAGCATATTTCTACCACTAAAAATGTTCTGGGTATGTACAAACAGAGCCTCCTTTCTCTGTGAGTAAAACCAAAAGCAACCACTGGCTACAGCTCCTCATCCTTAAGGGGATTTACAGCAACTAATTGTTTTAGCTCAGAATTTTTGTCGTTTTTAGGGCCACATAAATCAATTCTTTTTTTTTTTTTTTCCTGTTACACCCAGTACATGACCTACTTTTGTATTAACCCCACATAGAGCTGAGTGAATAATGGAATTTTGGTTCAGTTATTAAACAGAGAATTGATGGAAGACTCTCCTCCCTTTCCTAGTCAAAATAATATGTCCAGATGAATAATCGTGCCTGGTAAAATGTAATTATTTGCCATATTTGGTATTTAAAAATGTTCTAGTACAACAGCTGAATCTGTGACAATTTAAATTAAATTTTCTGCATATTTGAGCATTTCACATATCTTAGGACTGGAAATTATTTAATGCTTAAAAATCCAGAATACTCTGGTTTAATGTGAGCAGCAAGGAAATTTTTCATGGCTAATACGAGGTTTGCTGTTGGGTTTCTGTTGGTATGTTGAGAACAGCACACTCATTCTGATTAATATATTTTGGATATGCAGAATGAAATAAGATTCTAGGATAGAATCTGTTAGTGAATGGTTTGTGGAGGCAAGAACATGGAGCTGTCAGAGCGAGGTAAGTATATTTACTGCTTCCCTTGATGGGGGGAGTGAGAACCAAGCAGTATCCTGTCTATCCTCTGTACTGTCACTTTGCATTTGAAGGTCATTTCCCAGAAGGACAATATTTTGTATTATTTTTGAAATGAAAATCTTCCTCGGTCTTACGCTTAAGCTTCCGTTGGGATGATGATTAGAACAGATTAGATCTTTTTGTGTTCTTAATTTCACACTGGTCAGCTTTTGCAATATGATTTTTTTCCATGTCAGAACTGGTCATATGCTAGTATAACTTACTGTTAAAACTCAGCAGGCTGTACTTGAAATGTCTTAGGCTTTTTGAAAAAACATATAGAAAGCTATGGCAGTCTACTTCTGTAAGCATCATCTTCCACCAACTTCTCTTACAGTACTCTCTGACATAAACTTTTCAAAGTACAACTACTAGACTGCATCTAAGTCATGAGTTATCCTTGTGGGTTAGCAGCTTGTCTTGCTTTTTGAAATATCCACTGTGTTTGTTTGATGATGATGTGAAAGACAAGAAACAACTTCTTTTGCTTTTGTATTTCAGGGTTAAAAGAAGCCATGGGAGCATCAGGAGGACAGTGGGTGTATGTTAGTGACGCCCATGTTCAGATGGTTCCGGAATCAAGAGTACTAAATGCACAAGCATATCTACTTTTTTATGAAAGATTACTGCTATAATTCTCAACGGTCTAATTTAAAAGATGGTAGTGGTTACTTAGTTTATCTTATTTAAAGCTGCAGTGGTAAGAGTACCTGTAAATATTGTGCCTTTATCTTGTAGAGAATTTATCATATGTTGACTCTGAAATTCAGTCAAGCTATTATAAATATCTGAATGGTTCTCTTAAAGTACGCACTTTGCCAAGCATTTGAAATTCCTGGATTCATTAAAATACAGTACTGTTAGAATGTAAGATGATGCCCTAGCCTACTGAGGTTTATGGAAAGTTTGTTTTTGATTTTAATAAAGATAAGCTTTCACCCATAGTTCTAGAACAGTTGAGAATAAAAATACTGATAGCATTAAGTGCCTGGATTTGCTGGTATACAGTATCAATATAAAGTATTTGAACTTTTCGTGATCAATCCAGATCCTTCCCATCACTGGGCTGGATGTTAGCCGTTAAGATTTCTGCAAACAAGAACCTGTGAAATCATGTCACTTCCATAGGTAGTAATGGGAGAGCACGGGGCTTCCAGAATGGAGTAACAACAGCTGTCCTTGGGTAATGCTGCAGCACGCTTCCCTGATGGGGCTGGGAAGAGATTGGGAAAACATGGCTTCTACAAAGTGACAGTGAATTCTCAGATACCCAGTACCCTTTCAGCTGTCTCCAGCTGGCACTGGTATAGCAATGTACTCCTGTTTTAATATAAATATGTACTTGGTGTGCATATGTATATCCTCTGATATATATATATCCACACCATAAACCCATCAATATATATTGTCATTTTACCTACTAGGAAAGAGAATTGCAAATACTTCTGTATTTAGTAAATTTTCAACTTCATAATTATGACAATGTACAGCATATAAGCTTGTGTAAGAATACGTACGGGGTTTAAGCATAACTGGGTAATTCTGTTACTTTTGGTTCTAAACATGAATTTGTTTATCTGTTCCTGAATACTTTTCTCACAGGAGTAATAAACTAAATTATTTTTGCACGGTGTGTGTGAGTTGGACAGTAAGTGATGATTTTTGCCTTCTGATACATGTCTGGACTTTCCTTTGTCATCAGTGGAGGACAGCACGTGTCCTAGTGGCAGAACTTGTTTCTGGATCCTGTTTGACTGCCCTATTTTGAGTAGTTACTTCTAGTAATTTCTCATTTCCATCTCAGAGAGTAATAGATACATTTTAAGGTCAAAATCTGATGACTACTTTGAAGATATGTAGTAATTAATTTGTTTAATAAGCAGTTACTTCAATACAAATTACTTACGTAACAGCTCCATCCTGTCCAGCTTGCTCTTTGATAGAGAAAAGACTTTATTTCTGCTTACTATTTTAATTTGTGGAAATTTTTTTTTTGGTGAAAAAACATGCTGTCCCTGTTACTATCTCTACCATGTGTTATCACACCTACTTGCACAACTTTCCTATTCACTAGTTCTGTTTCAGAGCCCCATCCCACCTGCATTCACTCTTTTGGGTAAGAAAGTAGCAAAACCTGCCATAGTTGCATTTGCTCAAACTGCTGAGGTATATTTTATAGCTTCCACTCACACTTGTGCAGGCACCAAGAATCGTTAGGCCATGCAAATGATTATCACAACAGAGTGAGCCCCTCTTTGCACAGTATTTTGTTTTCCAAAGAAAAAGTCCTCTGCTTAGGTCAAAATTAGGCTATGTGTTTTGGCCAACACAATCCTTTTTTCCCTCTGCAGAATTGTCTCAGACTACCCAACAGTAGTAAAACTCAGAGAAACCAAGCAGTCAGCTGTAGCCATCTTTATTCCAACTAAACACACCTTAACCTAAGTCTACACTAAGAAAGAAAGAAAAAAATGTTTAGAGTTGGTTAAAATATGTTAATTCCCTTTTACCTCCTTATCTTCCCCTATCCTTCATCCACCCACACACGCCTTCCCCCTCTTTGTATATAGCTGACCAAAACTCAGAATTAGTTCTCAGCAAGTCACAGCAAATACCAACTAAGTTCCAATTCTGTGCCAGTCGTGCTAGGAGATCACAGATGGAGTGGTTTTCATCCACCTTTAAGCAGACTGACTAGATAAGGCCTGAAGTTCCTAGTTTTGCTGACTTCTGTAAAACTACTGAACACAAGTACCTATATTCGTCTCCTAGTTTTTAGCCTAGAAGTACCTCCCTGGAGTACAAAACTAGGAGAGGCACAGATCAAGATTGTTAACCTGTTATTTCTTAATATTAATGCTATTTTCAGGAAACTCTTGAGGTGGTCTTCGCTTCTCTTTAACTGGAGTTCACACGCTGTTTGTACTGCTGAAATCTTCCCAAGTGGACATACTGACTAGGATGCCATGAAAGATGCTGGCAGGATTATTTCCCCATTAGCAGCCAGGGAATGTTTCCTTGCTATGAAGGTATTTTATAGAACATGGAGAGAAAATGACATGGAAAAAAGCCAGCACCTTTGCCAGAAATAGCCATCCCTGTTGCTCCTGTATGCGGCTTCCTGAGTTGAAATAAAAAGCAGTGTTAGGAGCAACTCCAGTGAGTTCAGAGTCAGGAACAGGTATGAAAATATTATAGAAGGAAACATTCTCTAAAAATGAGGGCAAGAGGTGAGGTTATGGCTTTAGAATGAAGAAATGATGACTAAGGTGAGACGTCAGACACAATTTTAGATGCAAATCACGCTTAGTGGGTCCTTTAAGACATAGGTGTGTGTGTGTGGGGGGGTGTTTGTGGCAAAATCTGGCTCCAAAGCAAGTGATTGTACATAAATAGGCATGCTTAATGCTTTTTATAGTTCCTCATCAGGAATTGCAAGAGAAGGTCTGAGCGTTCCAGGAAAATGGGTGTACATTCTGTATTTGCTAAAATGTTAAACATGATTCTAGAGGCTATTTGCAAATCTTTACAGCTTCCCGCAACTGTCAGCTGCGTGCACGCTATTGAAAAGCTACATGTTTTCAGAATTTAACTGAAGGGCTCTAAAGTTTAAGACTCTCCTTAAAATGTCTTCTCTGACCAGACCAAAAATCTTTTTAGGCCTACAGCATCTACTCTTCATAGCGCTACACCATACCTTGGTCCCCCGCACCCGAGAAAGTGCATTAGCCTACTTCATGTGGAGCATCTTAAAAACAGCTTTCCCTTTGTCCCACCCTTCTCTTCTCACAAGGGCACCACTGTTTTCTTCATCAGCCTCATCTATTCTTTATGTTTTCAGGGTCCCTACAAGCCTCTGTGTCAATGTCTTTTCTTTCATCCATCCTTAACCGTATCATAATGTTTCCCAGTCCTATCGCTTACATTCCATGAACTACCCAAACTCTTACTGGAAATGCTACTTGAATGAGAGTCTTGCCTCTCCCTGCCACTGCAGTGGCTCTGCAATTCAGGTAACTGAGAAAAGCTGTCACTCCTGAGCAGCTCTCTGCTGACTCTGTCACAAGACAGTGCCTTTAAAACAATGAGAAAGACAGCAAAGTAAATAGCTCCTCCCTCGTCAGTAAGTAAACCTAATTTATGAGAAGTACTTGATTTGCATATGGACAAGTGGAACCCCCTACAAAAGCTTCCCCAGAGTGGAGGCATCAACAAAGATGGCTGTATCAGCTAAGGAGTTGGTCCAGATTATAGAGTCATTCTCCTCAGAAAGAGCTTTGTTATCTTTGGATTTATATAACATCTATGCTAAGCAGAGCAACAAAAATGATGGGGAGAAGATTTATTATACTAACCTATGTACACCAATACATGTACGGACATCTTGCTTGTGTAAGTCTGTTCTCCTAAGAGAGGCCTACAGACACTTAGTGGTGAAGGAAAAACAAACAAACCAACCCTAAACTCTGTCCACAATGTACGCACTGTAACTGTCTTTGTTTAATAAACGAGATGCATGCAGTCTGCCAAACCTTTCTCCCCTGTTCCCATCTGCACCCTCCGTGTGTATCAGTGAAGGGCTCTTGCTTATGGATTTCAAGTGGTAGCAGGTGAGAGTGGTTTATAAATTAATTAAAAGGCTGAAATGTCTTAACTTCACCATTTGCTTCTCTTTGGACTTCTTTTTTATACTCACACGAACTGAATCATAAAAGGACACGAAATTAATGCATCTACATTCTCAACCCATTATAAAAATCTTACTTGAACATACTAGTAACAAACTAAGATTTGGAAAAGAATAATTTGAGGAGAAACTTTGAGATGTATTAAAATGGGAACAAAGAAAGCATCTGAATACAGCTCTTACGTTAGCAAAAATTAGCAAATCCAATTTAATTAAAAAGTGGTAGCATACTTCACAAAGCAGCTTCACAGCAGCTCGAATTAAACAAAAATTTTATATTCTTCCATTTTCATTAGCCGGAAGCTTTTTTGCCGTGCCCAGTACACATTTATGCATCTGTACAAAGATTTATATATCTACGTGAAAGAGATGCCACTAATTTTCAGTGGAACCATTTCAGTGTAATCATTTTAGAATGGATTATTTTTGCTTCTGTATCTATTTACTGTGTTTTGGGATGTCATTTTGCCAGCTGTCTCAGCTGTTTGTACCTCTCCCAGTGGTGTATAAATAAACTGCAGAAACAGCAGGAAAGTGATTATTCAAAATTACTCAAAACATATTGTTTTGAAAACTGAGATTATAAAATATACTTTCAGACACAGGTCTATTAGTGCAAGTTAAAACACTTCCTTTTCACAACATTATATAAAAAGTCTAAGTGAATTTATTTGTTACAGTAAAACAATTGCAATGCATTGTAACTACTTTAGGACTACTTAATATAAATGGAATGTATACAAAGTTATAAATACTTCTGTCTTCATTGGTATTAGTAGAAAAACTATTTTTTGTCAATAACGTTTCTTGCATCTATTGCAGCTTCCAGTATTTTTCTAGTACAAAATATAAAGGTGCAGTGCTGCTTTTAAAGGAAAACAGAAAAGCATCTGAGTAGATTTATGACTTCTTAACACTTATCTCATTGCTTTGTTAGGTTAGTTTTTTGGTTTTGAGCTGTGTAACCTGGGGATCATTACAGTGAGCACTAATGAAACCACTGTATCGATGGCAGCCATTCCCTATTTAGCCATTTCACAAAGTTGAGTTCTGATTCTACTGTCACTTATGCACGGAGATAATCCCCGATATGTTCATATATGCTTGTACTTGCACAAAAGACAATCCAAGTAATCAAAAAAACCTGTTTCTAAATCCAAAATACTTGTGAACAATAAATCATTCATGTTAAAAGTTTCCTCTTGTTTTTATTCATTTACTTTTTTCATGTTTGAACTAATAATCTAACTCTGCAGGTATTTAAAAATAATATTCTTAGAATTTTACTACAGTACTGACACATTGTACACTTTATTTGTAGATTTCTAGTTCCAAATATTACTAAGTAAGCAGGGCCTTAAACACAGACTGTATTTAAAAAACAAACAAAAGTCTGATCAGTTTTCCCATCTAAGTGCTTTAATAAATTTCTCAGAACAAAGCTGCCATTTGTTTTCTATTCATTTCGTCTTTTCATCTGTGTTATGTATTATTTGACAAACCTATAAATAAAACATCCAACCATTTAGAAAAATGTATTGTTTAAACTGGATGTTGCACAACCAAGTTCACAAAGCTTCAATTTTTTCCCAACTAAAGTATTTTTTCATCTTGTGTCACAACTTCACTGCACTTGAAGGAGCTACCCAGAGATGAGTCAATATCCTTGAACACTGAAGCTAGACCACATGTTTCCCCCTGCCTTACCATGTGGCAGAGGTCGTAGATTAAGAGATCGTTTGTTCCCTTTACAAGAACCAAATTCTGTAATTCTGTGGTAAAATGAGGACCAAGAGTGGGTCTCCCTCACAGCCCCAGTTTCAGTAGCAGCTTAAAGCTTGCCCATCCCGAAGTACCAATCCAGGGTTCCAGCTCTGCATCAATTGGCGCTGGACAGGCTTAAAACTTCCAGAACACTTCTGTCCATGGAAAGCGTTTTTGGTCCAGCCACTCCTTGTGACACAAAAAGGTAAAAGTCTAGAACATTTCAGTCAACAGTAACATGTAGTGTTAAGTGCCACAATGAAATCATTGCACGAAGTAAAGCACAAGTTTCCTGAAGCTTTCAATTTTCTATAGATTTAGAAAAGTTAATTTATCCTGTTACTCCATGTGGGTATTAATGTTGCTTTATCCAATGACCAAAGAGATTATGGATGTTTTAGGCATTTAAGCAGATGATGCTAAAGAAGGCAGTGATCACAGCACTAAGTAATGTGCTAGCTAATGAAAATCTCTGTTCCACAAAAGGCAATGCAACCACTAAGTCCTTGCCTACAGAACCAACCCCCCCAATGTCAGTACGAGAAGCACTATTGACCAAGGATGATTTTGGTTTATCTTCCTGCATTAAAATACAATTATAATTTCAAGGTAAATCTCATGAGAACTTAAAAATTAATTTGGATATTCTGAATAAACTACTAGAAGAATGGTCCTGCTCCAGATATGCATACACCGACCTCACTTAGAATGACGACATGCAACCTTAAGTTACTCGTGTATTTCAGTATCACTGCCCAGAGTTACATCCACTGCACGGAGGAGCTTTATCAACTTCTTCAGGTAGACTCCACGCTCTGCCCTGGCACCGCGGATCACGCTCTCTGACCAGCAGTTACCTGTGGAGGCCGCAGAGCTGACGAGCTTCCCGCCAGTCTCCTCACACGAAGACACGCCGGCGGGAAAGGGAATCCCGGGTGCTTCCCACCGCTCCCAGCTGCGCTCCAGCCCCGCAGCCCGCTCTGGTAAGCTGATGGCGGCCGACGGAGGGGCCTCGCCGGCGGCAAACGGCGGCCGGGCCGGGCCGGGCCCCAGCACCCCTCAGGCCGGGGTCGGCCGGTCCCCCCGCCCCCCCCCCCTCCCGTCCCTCACCGGGGAGCGCCAGCAGGCGCGCGGCCCCGCCTCCCGCCCCCGCCGCGGCTGCCATGGAGAGCGGGGAGCCACCGGAACTTGTGTGGCTGCCCACAGTCAAGATGGCGGCGGCGCGGCGCTGCCCGCCGCCGGCCGCTTCCCACCGAGGGAGGCGCCGCCAGCCCGCCCTACGGGCCCTTAGCAAAGATGGTGGCGAGAGGCGTTCGCCAGTTCCCAGCCAAGGGTCAACACCATGACGCGTTTTACTTCCGGGGCAGCGCCAGTAGGCGCCATATTGTCTTGTTCGTGAAGACGAGGAGCGAAAGAGGGGAGAAAGCGGCCGCGGCGCGGTAGGAGCGGCAACGCCTACGGCGGGAGGCAGGGGAGAGTGTAAGTAGCGGGGCAGGCTGCGCTCGCCAGCGCTCCCGGGGGGCCGGCGGGTGTCGAGCTGACCCGGTCTTCCCCTTCGCTCCTCCTCGTCCTCCCCCAGCCCTGCCGGGAGGCGTCAGAGGGCGCCGCGCCGCCGTGGCGGCAGCTCCTCGCCGGCCGTGAGGAGCCGGCGCCGCCGAGATCGCCGGGCCTGGACGAGGAGCGAAGACTCCGAGCTCCGCGCCCTCCCCCGCCGCCCGGGCGGGCAGCTGCGCATGCGCGGCGGGGGGTGAGGGGCGGCCGGCGCCGGGGAGCCCTCGGGACACCCCCCCCCCACCCCCGCCGCCGCCCCTCAGCGCGCATGCGCCGCCGGGGTGTTTTCCCCCCTCCACCCCGGTGGTCGGTCCCGTTACCTGCCAGTGCGCGTGCCCCGGGGCCGCGGGCGAAGCCGCCGCGGGTGGGTGAAGCCGGCGCGCGGGGCGAGCGGGAGAGGCCCGTAGGCGAGCAGGCCGGCGTGGGGAGGGGGGGGGGGGGCGGGAAGCGCTGCCCGTGGGTAGTGAAGCAACGCCCCTCGGTGCGCTGCGGGGGGCGGAGGGGTTGGCGGGGTGTGTGTCTCCTTCTGCAGCCTGGTTAGGCGGCAACGCGTGCGCCCGGGGTTCGGTAGCTGACAGTGTCAGCAGCCCGGCTCCTGCGGCTGAAATGTCTTTGTGGAATATTTGTGCTGCTTCATGGGGACCGTAGCTATTCTCACGAATTCGCTCCCACTGGAGGGCTCCAGAGAACTGAAATTAACAGCGTCCACGCGTGTAGCAATGTTTGTAGCCTACCTGAATCTGGTTCTGTAGCGTGGCAAGCACGGGATGTTTCTAAATGGATACTTCAACAGACCACAGGTTTCTAAGCCTTTTTGCGCTAAGCACTTAGCCACACGGTTTCTCAGTACTTTTTTAGGCAATCCCACATAGTTCAGTGTTGAACTAAACTTGGATGGGATGTGCTAGGCTTTATAGTTAAGGATGGGGCTACAGAAATGGTCAGGGGGCTGGACCACTTCTCCTACAAAGAAAGACTGAGAGAATTGGGGTTATTCAGTGTAAGAAGAAAAGGCTGTGGGGAGACCTGATCATGGCTTTTGAATATATAATATGGGTTTACAAGAAAGATGGAGAAAGACTTCCTACCAGGGCCTGTAGTAACAGGACAAGGGGTGACACTTAAAACTGAAAGCGGGTAGATAAGATAGAAGAAGGAAATTCTTTACTGTGAGAGTGGTGAGGCGCTGGCCCAGGGTGCCCAGAGCAGCTGTGGGTGCCCTCTCCCTGGAAGGGTTCAAGGCCAGGCTGGACGGGGCTGGGAGCCCCCTGGGCTGGGGGAAGGGGGCCCTGCCCGGGGCAGGGGGGTGGAACTAGATGACCTTCAGAGGTCTCTTCCAACCCAAACCATTCTGTGACTCTGTGATGTGCTACCCCAGCTGACCTCTACCAGGTTTCTGAAACACATTAGTATACAGAGTATTCAGCACCTTGGTGGTTGTTCATTTCTTCTCTTAGTGTGATACCTGTAAATGTTTGTATGCAAACAGTCTTTATTGGAAGGTGTGGGATACAGGGAGCAAGGGATGCTCTAAAGGAATTGTTTTAAGGCAAAGGGTCAGATTAAAGATGAGGAATGGCAGTCTTCATAGCATTGGGCATGTCTGCCAGCAGACAGTATTCAAGCATCATTTTACAAGGACGGAGTTACAAATAACAGTCCAGTCCAACTGAGTGGCTGTATCGTGTGTAGGAGTGAGAAGCCCCTTTTGAATTCTAAAGTCAGGCCTCACTGAGAGATGGTGCCTATAGCAGAGGTGACAGATGCTGCAGCTCCCCCTGATTGTGGAACACAGGGGAACTGGGAGCCTCGGCTTTGTCCAGGGTCAAGTTGCTAACATTACTGATAATTCAGTGACAAATCAGAAGACAAGCTACTGATTTCTAATTTGTCCGAGGCAGCAGCAAACCTCGTGTCATCTCTACTACTGCGCCATTACAAGACTTCCTATATTGTCTTTGTCCCATGTGACAGGCAAGCTCCGGCTCTGAAAGAGTGGTTTCTCAGCTTTTGGGCTCAGAGGCATTGCCTGGCAGAAGAGTCCACGAATTTAGCACAGTTCCACAACTTTTCAGTGGACGACTCGCCATATAATTTGTAGTGGTAGAGAGGGGTCTTAACCGTTTTTGATTTTTCAGTTAACTGCAGGATTATGCAAAAGCATTATGGAAACAGGAGTGTCCAGTCTCCCTTCTTTTCATGACTGAGGTACAAGATGATCATAAGTTGGCCTTTGGCAACAAAGAGTACTGTGGGTAGGTTTTATTAAATGTTCTTACTTTCATCTCTAGCTGATTTATCTTCCTTAAGTGATAACTGTTTTTATCATTGAGGGTAATATCTGCTCATGACCAATGAGGAATAGTTGTTTGTTTATTTAGCTATTGGTACTATTCGTTTTTTGTACAAAGCATGGTCATCAAGGAGGAAGTTGTAGATGGAGAGTTCAGAAAGAAAATAAACGCTGTGTTATATGGCTAATTGAAAATCTAGCATCAGGTCTTCTAGTGGAATGATAGGTGCAAAAAATAATCAGATCAGACTTTTTTTTTTAACCCCCTCCAAACCTAACAGAAGTTTGACTCAAACCACTTAAGTTACTATGATGTTTCTGTGATAGTAGATGTTTTAGCAGTGGTTTTGGTGCTTTATGATAATCAAAGCATGTGTTTATTCTTATGTCTTCAATATACAAAAAATAAGTAAATGATACCCGAGTTGCCAGTATCTGGTCCTTTTGTTCTTTTGAAAGGGTTGGCTTCAACTCAGTGGATATGTGGATTTAAGTTTAAAATAACAACCCTTGGAAGCTGTGCTGCTTGAATGACTCATGAAGAAGTTTTCATAGTTTTCTTTTTTTTTTTTTTTTTTTTTTTTTTTTCATTTGGCCTTTGTTCAGCCTACTTCATCTTGGTGGCACTGTAAATATTAGTCAGACATGCTGATGTGTGAACCAGGTTCTGGAAAACTTTGTAGATACCGAACAAGCTGTTTTCTTCAGTTCTTTTTCTGGTTTTGTATTCTGGATCTTGGTTAGGCTTTGTGGAAGCCTCTGTTCTTCAATTTGAGAAAGAATAGTTCTGATGTTAAAAAATGTAGTGGAGTAACTGAAGCTGACTTCTGGCATTCTTGTGTGACACAACTGTAAGTGGGCTGGAAGAATTTTACATGTTTTTTTGACTGGACATCTTGCTAACAGATCCCAGAAGACACATTGGTGTAGCTTTTGGTTCTCAGGAAGAGAAAAGATGCATAGTGTCTGGGCATTAAATACTTGCAACAATTTAGGGTGATGCCCTAGGTGATGTGTAGAAGTCTTTGGCCAACTGAAAGTGTGGTGGGTGAAGCAGTAGCAGTCCAGGTAGTTATTTTAACTTTTTTTTTTTTTTTAATTGCAAACTTAACTCATGCCATAAATGCGCCATTCTCTAATCAGCAGCTGAATATAATATAGTAATAAATACTAGTTTTCCCAAATAAAATGGAAGCTGCTATGTTTTTGTCTGAGTGATGGTATGCATTTGTTCTGACTCTGGGTGTCTGTGTGTCTGCAGCCCTTCTGTAGTAACTCCTGGAGTTCATTCCTATGTGAGTTCGTAGGGTGCAGTACTTTTCCATGCTCCCAGGTCTTTTCAGCTGCAGAGGTGTTCTGACTTACCTGGGTCTCCCACATTAAGACCACATGCTGATGATTCTTGTGGTAACCTTTCTGCATTGAATTTTTCTTCTTGGTAGAGGGGCTCCTCTGGGTGTGCAAGGCCATTTTTCCTTTGCATCTCTCTTTTTCAGTCACACCTGTTGTGTACAGATTCTTACAGTAAGGTATTTTTTATTTCGGTGACACAGTCGTGGAAGAAGAGCTCAGTTTACATTTCCATCCAGTTTGGAGTACACTGAGGTAGATATTCTTGGAGTTTATACAGTCTGTGTCTTTTACTGACTTTGGACATAAACTTGGTTGGATGTCAATAATAGCATGGATGAGTTGCTCTATGTAATTCCTTGCAAGAAACATGTGAACTGTTGGGGTTGTATCCCTACAGTACATACCCACTAGTCCTTCCAGCCTCATCAGTGATGTCTATGCTGTCATGGCCCTGATGAAGCAATAGCACAGTGGGAGGAAGGGGACAAAACGGCTCTCTGGCAACACTGGTGAGCTTGAACTCTCAGTGGCATTCGTCTGATTCCCGTCTTTCTACTAGCTGCTTTGCTCTAGGTGTTGTGAATGCAGTGTTAGATTTATCCTGTGTGCAACTGAACAGTGCCACAAAATTAATCATGGAAATTCACCATAAACCTTCAGTCACTGTGCTAAAACTTGACAGGGTCAGTATCAGCTACCTCTAATGAAAGGAAAAGACCTTACATTGGAACAAGGCACTCGCACAAAAGATCAAGACATGAGGCTGTAGATTTCAAGGACCTCTGCTTCTGAGAAGTCTCTGTTTTCTTTTAGGTCCATCTCCAGAGCTTAAGCTTATATGGTACAGAGAAGCTCTGCCCACAAAGGATGC